TTTTTTAACAGAAAAATAAAGATTCAGTGGGCAGAGGGAAGGGACAAATGGTAGGAAGAGATCAAACTGATAGACATGGAAAAAAAAAACATTAAACATATTCCATTTTAGAGAAAAAATTACAAGAAAAAACACCAGGAGATGATATGGCACATAAGTTTAGACAGTAAAACCAAAGACTCTTCTAGAGTATACTATCTGAATACACAGCTCCAGAGCATGCTATGGAGAAGACGACCTGTATGCACATCATCAAAAAAGCTCAGCTAGAAAATGTTCATCACTCCTGCAAAAACTGCACAAAGAAGAGCAATAAAGATGATTTAGAGTTTCTCTCCTACAGCACTCACATACATCTCACTACCCTTCCAAAGAGTTGTCTCTAATTTCAGCTTGCATAGAATGGGCTCACTCCAGACCTTGCCGTCTTCTAGCCAAACCTACAGCTAATTAATGGACCACTCTCAACCACCATGATATAGTCAGGTAAATATACCATGCAGTACACAATTTAATACTCACAATTATTCAAAATACAAATGCCACAAAATTTCATGCACTCCCACTAAGAAAGAGAGATCGAGAAAGTTATTTCCTAGCTTCTAATTTTCCAGATCATATACAGTCTATAAGGAAAAAAAAAAAAAAGATAAAAGCCTAAAAAACTTTTTTTTTTTTTTTTACAAAAGTATTTGGGGAAAAAAAGCAAACAAGCAAAAAACCAACCACATACTTTTACACTTTTTCCAAAGGAAGTAAAACTGCTCAGCTTTGCAGAAGTCAGTCAAGATTTGCAGAAGTCAGTCACGAGGGGATCGAGTGCACCCTCAGCAAGTTTGCAGATGACACTACATTGGGAAGTAGTGTTGATCTGCCTGAGGGTCGGGAGGCTCTACAGAGGGACCTGGACAGGCTGGATTGATGGGCTGAGGCCAACAGTATGAAATTCAACAAGACCAAGTGCCGGGTCCTGCACTTGGGCCACAACAACCCTCTGCAGCGTTACAGGCTTGGGGACATGTGGCTGGAAAGCTGCACAGCCGAGAAGGACCTGGGGGTGCTGGTCAACAGCCGACTGAACATGAGCCAGCAGTGTGCCCAAGCAGCCAGGAAAGCCAATGGAATCCTGGCATGGATCAGAAACAGTGTGGCCAGCAGGAGCAGGGAAGTGATTGTCCCCCTACACTCAGCACTGGCGAGGCCACACCTGGAGTACTGTGTCCAGTTTTGGGCCCCTCACTTCAAGAAGGACATTGAGGTGCTGGAGCGGGTTCAGAGAAGAGCAACGAAACTAGTGAAGGGTTTAGAGAACTTGTCCTATGAGGAGCGGCTGAGGGAGCTGGGACTGGTCAGTCTGGAGAAGAGGAGGCTCAGGGAGGACCTTATTGCTCTCCACAATTACCTGAACAGGAAGTTGTAGGGAGATGGGAGTTGGTCTCTTCTCCCACATTATGAATAACAGGACGAGAGGGAATGGCCTCAAGTTACACCAGAGGAAGTTTAGGTTAGATATCAGGAAAAATTTTACAGAGAGGGTTGTGAAGTATTGGAACAGGCTGCCCAGAGAGGTGGTGGAGTCCCCATCCCTGGAGGTGTTTAAAAACTGTGTGGATTTGGTGTTGAGCAACATGGTTTAGGGACCCTGACAGTGCAGGGTGAATGGTTGGACTCGATCTTGGAGGTCTCTTCCAATCAGACGATTCTATGATTAATCACGAGAACCAAAGGCTTATTTTGGTTGTACCCTACTTTGAAAATGATGATAGTATTTAAGAAGCTTCCTCATTAGGTCACTCAGAAATTATTAACATCTGTAAAATATTTCATTGTGCTTTATTACAGCTCCAAAGTACCACACTGAGGTTCAAATTTGCAGATACAGACAGCTTCTAATCAACTTCATGGAAAAACGTTACTTTCAGTGGATGCAACGCTAGTTTAATGTTGTCATACTTACCAATCAGGCAGCAGGGCTTCAAAGAAAACACAGGAAATTGTACATAAATATTGCTATGTCCCATTTACTGTGTATTTCTAAAGTTAGAGCATGAAAGCGTTAAATATTTTTGTTTTCCACTAAAAACACTCTTTACATGGCAAGGCAATTAAGTTATTTTGGCATCCGCTCCACACAAAGCAGCTGCTGTACAGTATGTTTTACTTTATAAAATATCTTTAATCAGCACACTGACTAGTTCTGTCATTTATAATTAAGGAGGTAAATGGCAGGTGCAGCATTAATTAGTGAAATTGAAGTCTCTATGCAAGACATGCAGTCATACCAGCTTAATGCTTCCTAGGAACAGAAATGATTGCTAACAGCTTTGCACCACAAACTTGACTAGGTAAGACCGCGTGGAGAAAAAGGGACGTTTACAACGTTTCTGAAACCTTTGCAATCTGACATTACCAGATTCATTTCTTAAACTCTTCCTCTGAAAGTAAGAATAGAAAAGTACTTCAGAAGTGCAAAAGCCTACCCTCTAAGCCATCCTGTCAGAGTCCTGCCTTACAAACAATGAGAGGGGCAGAGGTACAGATCAAGAGGTAAGGCAAAGCAGTTCTCTTCATTGAAAAGATTTGCCCAGACAACAACTAAGAAATGGGCTAGCCCAACATTTGGAGAAATGCCCACACTCATAATTTAAAACCAGACCAACTGTTGTCATAATCCCTTCCCAACATGACAGTAGGACCAGCAGTCCTACAAATACCCTGAGAACACTTCTGCCATTGCCACCTTAAGAGGTTGTGGTATTTTGGAGAACAGCCATAGTCTAAACTGTGAGTTAAATCAAATTTCTCCTCCCTTTTAAAACTGCAGAGGTTATTCTGGCTTAAAGGGCTCCTTTAACCTCCTTTAAAGTAGCCTTACAGCTGTTTATAAATCTTTAGAGCACACACATTCAGCGAAAGTCCTACAAGATGAGTTTCACTTCCAAAGAAGTGGCAGTCACCCTCAACACTGGTACTATATAGTGCTGGTCCTTGGCAGACCACAGCCCAGGGTGATGCCTTCATCATCTCCGTGTTCACCTGTTCTTCAGAGCCTCCAGGCACAACCACAGCATGCAAAACTGTTCATAAAAACAAGTGTAGTTGGTGAGACTAAAATAATTATAGTCTTTGTGGTCTCACTTGTAAACCAATAGTCTGCTCATCTCCAAGCAAATGTTCTCAGACACTTCATTGGTTTCACCAAACTAAGACTGCAATTCGAAAGAAGCCAAGAAGCCTAATTTTTTTAATACTTGAAGACAAAAAGGTTAACCCTTCTGACTGCCCCGTCACCTAAGCTATGTCTTAAAAACAATCCAAATATGCGTGCTTTAAAAAACCTCTGAAATACCAACCTCGCAAATATCATAAGGCATTGAATTGATTTGTGCTTCATTGATGTTAAATGAATGTTTCTTCAGTGCCTTCCACATGCGTAGAAACAAGCATTTCCAAGGCAAACTATAGTAGATAAACAGCAGCGGATGGAAGGCAAACTTATTTGTGTTTTTCTTTCAGTGCTAATTTTAACACAAAATTGAGTCTTCTAGGAAGGAACACACTCCCTAGCTGTGCGCAGTACCCCCTGCCAACCAAGTTATGAAGCAGAACTGCTACTGACTCACAAATGAGTTATTCATCCATCCTCCTTCTGACAAGTGAAAAAGTACATGACCGCAGCTCACAGAAGGAAAAACAAAGACTCAAACAGAGGGATTCAGGAAGGATAAGGAGGAGAATTTGGAAAACAAGGATACTGTGATAAAGACAATTTGTTATAATCTGCAGGAAGACACAATGACAATAAACCACTTTTAATCGGACTTGTAATTCTGTAAAGGAACAAATAATAAGTGCTGCACAAAGGCCACCATTTATGAACATCACAATATTTTGTTTGAAAATGCAAAATGAGACAGCTGAATTTCAGTATTTTTAAGCCTTTTCAGATTAGGAGCAATCAGCGTGGGTACGAAACAGCTGATTTGAACTAGCAGAAGAGAATTAAGAGGGAGGAAAAAGCTTTGTCTATAAATGGGAACAAGCACCACCAGGGAACAGACTTCACAGAGTACACATGGGGGTTAAACAGAACCCACCCTCCCAGACAGGCACAGCTCTCAGCTGAAATATTTCAGAGAGCATAAAATGAATACTGCTATCACAAACAATTTCAGTTCCCAGGCAGGTCTAAGACAGTGATATTCATATAAACTCTCTGAGAAGGCAGTAGCCATGCCCTACCATATGGTCTGGCACAGTTCAGCATATGGGACTGGTTGTGATTGTTTTCCTTTTCCCAAAATTAGCATTAAAATAAAAGTGATAGCTTCAATTAGAAGCAAAGTAACCTGAGCTCAAAATATTAAATTAGAAGTAATCCAATGTTCTGAGACATAGACAACAAAAAAATTTACAGTTTGTTAGAGAGTATAAATACAATTAAGATTGAGAAAAGAAATGAATACATAAATAAATCAATTCCTCCACAACTATGGCACAGAGCAATATTTACTACCAATGTGGACAGAGAGAGAGATGTTTACGGTATATGCACAGAACAGAATTAAAATCACATTCCCCAGTCTGTCAGTTCATATCAAAAAAAGTATCGAAGAGGCTAAACTACCTTCTGCCATTCAAAAAGCATCATTAGCTAAGGCAGCTGCAAACTGGTAAAGCAACTTGAAAAAGCCTGCTTTAATATTTAACTTGTTCTACTTTTCTTTATGGTTCTGCTTCCTTTTATGGACACCATAAGGTCCATGGGTTCCAATTTTAAATGGATTCTCTACCAAATGAGAATGAGGTGGATCACTTGATATCACATGATTAATACAAATTGGTACCATTTTGTATCATCGTATGTACACATCCCTACAATTCACACCAAATGATTTGGTGGAATCTGATTAAAATAAGATAGCATTCCAGCTCTACAGACAGTAACGTTACATGAAGTACCCAGATACATAGGAACACAGTCAAAAGATATGTCTTACTTTCCCATCCAAACCGCATAGCTTTCAGGGAGTTGTGGAACAAAAAGCATGGATCTTCCAGTATCAACATCTACCGCTCCAAAGCAGCCTGCTTCAGTTACTCCAAAAGTCCAGTGAAAGTAAGATTCCTAGGTTAAGACAAAATATATTCTTAAAGGAAAACCCTCACTTCTGAAAATCTCTCTTGCTTTTGGAGAGAAGGAAGTGCTTTAGGTCTAGACCCTTTCAGACTGATTCGTTTTAGGTCACAATAATACAAATCCCTCTGTTGGCAACCTGCTTTGTGAAATATACTACTTATAAAAGCTCAAAAAATGCTTTTCTATGAATTAATTCAGTTTAAGTCTACTGTCATGTTTCACTACTGAAAGAAGCTTATTTTTTGGCTCACAGACAAGACTGAAAAAACTAATATTCCATTGCTGTCTTTAATATTGCGTTAAACACTGATAGGCAGTAGGGCCTTGAACAGGTTTAGGCCCTTTAAACCAGCTAATGAGCCCACATACAAAAGCACTGAAAGAGAGCAACTTGACGCTGAAGAGGCAATGTTACACAGAAGACAATTTATTGAAGTGAAACAAGGCAATGCACGCATGAGAGATAAAGGGAAAATAACTAAAAATAGTTTTAAAATTCATGCAATTGAAGAGACAGCTTCTTAATTTGAATTGAAGTTTTGACTCGGCTCTCACCTGGCGAAACACGATACCAGTATCAGTACAGTATCTCTGGGTTTCTTCTCCACCCTGCAGCAGAACAACTGAATTCTTCTGGATATCCTTATTCTGTCTCAGGCGATCACACAGTCGTCTTCTATTCAAGGCAAAGAGCGCTACAGGCACTTTCAAGGTCTCGTTCCCCAGCCAAAAGGAGGGTCTAGAAAAGATTTTTTTTAATTGACAATTAATGGAAGACAAAGACAGTAGCACGATTCAGACGCGCAGTGTTAGCTACTTTAGTCTAGAACAGAAAAGGAAGTTTAGTTCAACTCCACAAACGAGATGTTAATCACTCAAGAGGAAGAGATGCTGTATACAAGCATCGCTCTTGAGCGACAATAAAACTTGCTCATACGAGTACCAAAGGAAAAAGATGGCAACAGGAGACAGGCTGGCTGCAGTCGTGGCCTAGAGCATGTCATTTGTCACATTCCTTTAGGTAAAGTAACACGAAAAGTACATGCAGAAAGCGACAACAGCCCAGGTCAGCTGAGCAAAGGCAGAACAGCAGAGAAGAAAATGAGTTCCAAGTTACTGAAAACAGAAGTGGAAGGTTACATCAAGTCTGGCAAACTTCAGCAAGTCCTTCTGGGAAATGTTCAGTAGCTGAAACAGGGACTGGGAAGAAAATGTGACAGCAGATGCAGGACAACAGGTTTTCCCATACTCACACAGTATCTGCAAATTTATTTTCTATGTACATGTGTTTATTCTTGCATGCATACAAGTGGCTTCAGCAAGTGACTGAACTCACACACGTGGCTGCAGAAGCATGTCCCTGGTACCAATGACCTCCTGCTGCACATCACAACCCGCCCCTAAGGCAGCACAACTGTGCTGAGACAGCCCGGAAAGTTTCTGAAAGATTGTACTCAACAAAGCCACAACTGGGAGAACACAGTTTACAAGCAGAGAGCTCTTGCTTAAAATAAACTGATTAGTAATTACTTTAAGGTGTTTAAAGTACTACAAGAATATATTGATGATTCATCCACATTTGTCATAGGTCCATACCCACACTTCTTGGAGTTTTACCAGTAGAAGCACAGTAGCTTGTTGTAGGACTTGTTTTTTAAATCAGATGAGGAGAGAAGAATCTAAGAGCATTCCCTTTTGTTTATGTTTAATATAGCAAAGCTGTGCTTTGGAGTTTCGGTATTACAGATGAATACTGTTTTATCAATAAAATCCTATGATTTAAGTGCAGTTTCTCCCTCCATCTCAGTTTCTCTCAGGTTATTGAAGACTGACTGGCTGGCTGGTCATTTTCTATCAGATATGCTTCTAGAGATGATAGAAAGGAGCGGTTAAATTGTTGCCATGTTAAAATGACAAGAAATGAACCACCAAGGGACTTAATCTTAGAGAAGCAGAGCTCCGCATCTTAATTATTGTATAGTTTTCATAGGCAATCAGAAAGGTAACCTTTGATTTATAGCTGTGTAAAGTAACCTCCTGAAAGACTATCAGCATCAGAAATGTAAACCCTATAATTTCTTACTGCAGACACAGCATACAAGAGCTAATAAAATATTTTATTTTACTTGTTTATAATTACTTGATATAACATCGTAACTAATTCTAGAAGGTGAAAGACTGCTCTTGCTAGTCCGATCTGCCTAGGAGTTCAGCTGATGGTGCACAAAACTCAAACGTGTTTATTTTCCTTACTTCCCACACACACCTGATAAACCAGTACCAGGTGATCGTTACAAGGGCTGCAGACTATCTGTTGCAACATGTCGTGGTTTAAACTGGTCAGCAACTAAACACCATGCAGCCGCTCGCTCACCCTCCTCCACCCCAGGGTAATGGGGAAGAGGATTAAAGGGGAAAAGGGAAGGAGACTCTTGGGTTGAGATAAGAAAAAAATAATAATAATTATAATAATAATAAATTAAGTAATAATAATATTACACTAATAAAATATTAATATATATGATGATAACAATTTGGCCCTCAATCCGAGGCCTAAGTTCAAATCCTAAGGGGAGTTGTGGACCCTTTGCCCGGCCATGCTCCCCTCGAGCCTGTTATGCTCCCACACACTGCCAAAACATGGGAAGCTGAAAGGTCCTTGATGTCTCAGCACCAACTATAAACATCAGTGCGCTATCAACTTTCTTCTCATAACAAATCCCAGACTTAATCCAAAGCACAGCACTATTCTAGCTGCTAGAAAGAAAAATTAACTGTCCCAGCTGAAACCAAGACACAGCACATCAGCCTAGCACAAGCTTTCGCTTTGGGGTACCCATGCCTGTAGGAAGAATGAAGTAACTTCATACAATCCTAGCAAAAGCTACTGAAAGTATTAAATTGGAGAGCAAACCTTAAACTAAATACTGGCAAGGCTTTTCAGGTGCAAAGCTGTGGCTCAGCAAAGCACAAGAGGTTGAAACCACTGTTGTCCAAGCAAGATCAGTCCCTGGAGTAACTCCATGCAGGGGCCTGGAAACCATACGCTCACCTTATTTTAAGTACAAAAGGGAAGACAGAACATCATCAGATACCCTTATGCCATAGGTTGCTCTCAGATCTTGGTATCTGCTGATAAAAAAAAAAAAAACAAAAACAAACAAACAAACAAAACAAAAAAAAAAAAGGTAGAGGTTGTAGCACAACCTGTCTTCTGTTTTGCTTCAAAGGAAGGAAAAAAGTCACCTTCATTGTAATTTTACCCTCTATACAAGTTGGGATTTTTTTGCTATGATTTAAGTACAAAAAAAAGACTCTGACCTCCCTCCTTCTCCAGGCCTATTGCTGTATTCCTACAACCTGGACCTCATAGGAAGCTGCTACAAAGGCACATTTTCACCTCCATTAAGTTTACTGTTAATGCTTTTATTGCACTTAAAACCTTTGACAACCAAAATGAGACTCAAGGAGAAATATTGATGTCAGGCAGCAAGTCCTACTGGTAGTCTCACTCAGCCACTTTAAGAGTATCTTTTACCGGGATCTCAACACTCAAGCTGAAATGCATTCTGATGCAAAATGATGGTTCTTCTACACATTTTCTCTAACCCCACAGCAAAATTTTTTTTCTTTCTTATACATAACCAATTCCACTTTCTCTGCTTGAATTTGATGCCACAATATTCATCGACAGCAGAATTTGGCCCTGTACATTTGTTTTAGACTGCACAGTTTTTTCACTGGCATGGCCTTGGTCTCTATGTTAAGGCTGTTGTAACAGTCACAGCAGCTGAGCATGGTGGACCCCACAGCAAGGGCTGCAGAACACAGGCGGGCTGGGCTGAATGTTCTTGCAAACATTGCCCTGTTCCTCGGGTTCTCTGCTGAGCACTCATGTTAATTCATGCCTTGGACCTTACGAGCTTACCAGGCAACAGACCTACTTTCACAACTGAAATTCTACGGAGCAAATCAGCTAGGTTTCAGAGAAGACTCAACTTGGAGAAGTTTGCTTCCTCCACAGCCTTTGCTCTCTCTTCGCTTCTGCAAGCACTGAGATAACCAAACCGACGTCAGCCTGACGGATGGACTAACAACACGGCAAGACACCCACAGGTGCTGCTTTTCCTGCAGAGGCTGGGTCCACAGGTGTGAGCCCAGCGCAAGCTTTCTGCAACTTAGGCAGAGAGCTCCTTTCAGAGACTAGCACTGGCAGAGGAATTTAAGTCTTACAAAAAAAGAGTGTGGCTGCACACCTGGCTTTCTATTGCAAATAATGATTTGGGAAGAGAACTCTCACAGTACTCAAGATCACAACTGTTGCAAACCCTGTGACTACACAGTACTGTGGATGCCATGACTGTTACTTAGCACTTTTTCAGTTTCAAATGTAAGAAGCCATTACTATGCCATCTGCAGTAAGTTGAGTGGGTACACGTATATAACTGTCTGACATATGTATCGGCCCTGCAAACACACATGCAATTACAGTGTAATCAGCATACAACTCTGTTATTTGCCACCTAGCAACACTACCACAAAGTTTTTTCTAGGGCGGAAATTACAAGCTTTCCATTTTGGTCCATGATCTCTAACCACTCAGTTTATATCACACAAGACACACAAATATCAGAATTCAATTAGTACAAATACACTGGCTGGTCCTTCAAGGTCTGTTTCTCCTGTTAGTGCAAGGACTCTGGCATCTCCAGCCACAAACTCAACTCAGAACTCTCACGTAGAGTTATACATTTGATAATGAAATATATTTAATTCAAGCACTGCTTTGTGGTGTCCACCTCTTTGAAGCTATGCAAGCTTCTGCAAATAAGCATTAGTCAATGTCAGAAATGGCTACTCACAAGACCAGGACAGGACAAGCAAAGCTCAGCTTCCTTTTTTCTCTACTCTGGTACCAGAATTCAACCATTGCTCAGTCTGGTAAAGGCCTCCCACAGTAGCTGACAGTTTCTCTGCTGGCTGTCACACACAATTTTTATGATCACTTAGGACCAAGCCCACACAAGAGCTCTTTTATTTTACTATACTGGAAGTTAAATGTAGCTAGGAACATTAAACTACATCTGTTTCTTTACAGGATATTCTTCTTTTGCCTGGAACTTTTGGTTTTCAATGCTTATTTCAGTAGTTTTATATTTTCAGAGAGCTTACATTTTGTTACTGTATGATCCATCTAACATACTGGATTTGTTTTGATGCAACCCATGAGAACACACTGGTAACCAAATATCCTATCTTATTTCTGGTTTTCCTTCCATTTCTCAGTTAAACTTTTGTACCTCTGTTTTTTTCGGAAGAAAATTCACAGACTGCCATTTCTGTTCTACTGAGGTCACACCGACAGGATCCAGATTTCAATGAAGATGAGAAATCACTGAAACTACTTATCACAAAGTTACAGTTTGTTTGTTGACTGGGCCTTATTTATTTGTTTTGAGCAACAGTTACCAACATCAGCTTGAAGTCTCGCCAATTTTTAACGTTTCCATATCAAACGTGAAGTGCAAGAGGCCTATGCTAACAGCAGCAGAAGCAAATAAAGGATACAAGCAAAACCGTAAAAGCAACTACTGCTGTTTAAGATGTAAACTGGATGTTTTCTTCACAGTCAACTCACTGCTCCTTACAAAAGTCACCAAGTTGAAGTCCTGGTGCTGCTGGATGTCCTCCCTACCTCTGCACAACCTGGCTAACCGCAGGGCTGGGCACGGCGACCAC